GGTTAGAGAGAGGGGGAGTGGGGAGGGTGGGTGAAGAGAAGATGGGGAGTGGTATGGGGACGGGCAAGGGAGAGGGCCAAGGAGACGGGCAGGAAGAGAGCGAAGAGGGGGAGGGATGGGGATGCAGCAGGGAATGGGGGAAGGGGAGGGGGAGTGACAGGGGAGGGTAGCGGAAGGGGGAGGGGTAGGGGATGCGGCAGGGGAAGGGGAAGGGGGGAGGGGGAGAGGGAGTGGCAGGGGAGGCGAAGGGGGATGGGGAGGGGGAGAAGGGGGGCGGGGAGGGGGAGAGGGGGATGGGGAGGGGAGAAGGGGGCGGGGAGGGGGAGAGGGGGATGGGAGGGGGAGAGGGAGGAACTGGGGGATGGGAAAGGAGGAGAGGGATTTAGGTTTGAAGCTTGGTGTTGGCTTGGTATACATACACCCTACGGTATCTCTGTTGTGTGTCTGGCTTACTTATTGTGCATTAACCCCATACACTGACACAGTGAAAAGCCTCATGTGAGACAAAATAACACTTTGATTCCGAACCCTGCTCACTACTGATTTTCTCAGTTACGAGTGATGAACAGACGATCACTAATTTGCCCCCTCCTTCTACGCCCCCTTCCACACTTGCTCCTAACCCTACTGCCTCATTGATTGGAGCACAGCGAGTAAATACATGGCGCACCACCCTACACACCCCTCCACGCCATGATGCTGCAACCCACACCTGCTCCTCTGGCCCCCCTTTACTGCTCTTGATGCTTGCTCGGCCATTCAAAAGGTACACTGCCCCTTTCCCCCTTTCTGCCACTCTTCCCTTCCTATTGCCCTTCCTTGATTGGAACCTGCAAATCCACGGATAGTCCTCCTCCCCCCTTGCCCAATCTCTGCAGTCCCTCCATCTCCCTCGTACCATCTACCTCCATCTTCTCCCCTCGCTTCCCCACCGCCTGGCGATCAGCTCCAGGCTCCACTCCCTACACGCGTTGCTCCCCTCTGCACCACCATGCGTCACAGCAGGGCGTCTCACATCCACTCGGCCATTCTCACAGGATCGCGCCCCACCCCACTACCCCATTACCTCAACACCCATTGCCTCCTAGTCAGCGTCTCAACCTGCTATACTGCAGCACCACCACGCAAACCCTACTGGCCTACTCCAAACCTCCATCAGCAAATCTCTAAACCTGCTCCGCCACCCCTCCAGGCTCACTACCCTCCTCTCTTCCCCAAACTCTACCCCAAGGGCACATCGCCTCGCCCCACCACATGCGCCTCTCTCTCCTCCTCGCCCCTATTCGCCCCGCTCGCCGCTGCTTTCCCCTTGCCCACCCCCTGCTGCCGCCTCACCCACCCCAGGCTGGGTCTTAGGTCGCTTGGCAGCAGATGCCTGATCCTCCAACCACTGCTCTTGCTGCATATTCGCCTCTCTTCCCCTGTATCTGCTTCCCCTCTTCCTCTCCTTCGCTCTCCTCCCCCCCAACCCTATCTCCCCCCCTCATTCGCTCTGCTCGACTTCCCTTCCACTATGTCCCATGCACGTGAATGCCCTTGACTTTCAACTAACATGCCTCTTCTCCTCCTCCTCCCCTCCTTTCTCTCCCTCCTCTCCTCCACCTCCCCACCCCCCCACCCCCCCCCCCCCCCCCTCCCTCCTCCCCCCTCTCCTCCCTCGACCCCTCCCCTCTCCTCCCCTATCTCCTCCCACCTCTCCTCCACTTCCTCTGCGTGCCTCAACCTGTCCACCCGGCCAGGCCCCTCAGTGGTCGTCACAAACACCAGCAGCGCGCAGACTGGTCGTTCTCTACCGGCCTCGCCGCATGCACTCATTGCTGAGAACTGTCGCAACGGGGCCTACCGCACAGGGGGTCACCACCCTCCCCCCACTTGACCCTGCCTGGACGGCTGCAGCAGAGGAGAGAGGGGCGAGGGAGGCAAAACGGGGGTTTGGGAACGGGCTCGCGGCTGTTGGCCCCAAGGAGCGTTCAGATCGCAGCCGCATTCGCAGTGGCAGTGGCAGCAGTAGGTGTGGCGGGAAGAGAGACAAACCTTGAGCAAGTGAGGGGATTGTGTGCCACTGCTGCTGCTGTCCCCGCTGCCACTTCCTTTCCTTCCACCGTGTTTCGAGTTCTTGGAAAGAACGGGTTAGAAGAGCTGCTCGTTTGCTGCTAGCTGCTGCTTGCGACAGCGGCTGTGCCAGGGGGCTGCTGGGGGCGGCGGGGTGCCTTGCAGCAGCGGCTGGTTTCTGCTGCTTGCGGCGCCTGCGGTTGTGACCTAGCAGAGCGCCTGCGGCAGCTTGCGACGGCTGTCGTCAAACTCACACAGGTCGTGGAAGCTGCCAGCGGGGGCAGCGCAGGGCAAGGCAGGGTGGGGAGGGAAGTGAGGGAGGGTTGAAGAAGGGTAGCGAGGGATTCGCCTGGATAACAGGACGAAGTGAGGGCTTCACTAGAGGACCACATCACTCCTACACCATGTCAGGTGGTGGCCGTGAGGCGAGTGGGAAAGCAGTGAGAACACATAAACAACGAAGTGGGACAGAAAAGAAGGAGCAATGCAGGAAGCGAAGGAGGAGACGCGAAGGAGGAAGCGTGCAGGACACATGCATGCAGCAACAGCATGCACATCCACGCATGCGAGGCAGCTCATACCGGCTGCACTGCTGGCAGAAGCGCTGCGCCTTGCCCTGGATGTGCAACGTGCGTGGCCTTGGCGTGTGCCATCAACACACGCGGTGCCGCCTGTAGTAGTCCTTGTGTGACGTCAGCTCCACGTCACAACTGTCCACCTGGCAGATGCGGTGAGAGGAGAAGAAGGGAGAGAGTGGGGCGGAGCGGGGTTTAGGGGGTGGGAGTTTTAAGGGAGAGAGAGAGAGAGAGAGAGAGAGAGAGAGAGGAGAGAGAGAGAGAGAGAGAGAGAGGAGGCGGGGGAGGAGGGGAGTGGGAGGGCTGCGAGGCAACACTCATCCGCAGCCCCAGCTGTCTGCTGGCTACTGTGTCTGAACCTCTTCCCTCTCAGCAACCAGCTCACCAGCAATCCCCAACCAGCCCCTCCCTCCATCCACCACATGACTTTCCCCTTTCCCAACCCCAACCCCCCACCCTCCCCATTCCCCACCCCCCTAACCCTAACCCCTAAACCTCCTCTCTCTCTGCCACTGCCCCACCCCCCCTTCTCCCCTTCCCTCCCCTGAACCCCAAACCTCCCACTCTCCCTCCTAGTCCCTATCTCCTCCCCTCCACCACGCCCACACTCTCCCCCCTCCCCCCACATCGCCCTTCATGTTCCCCATCCTTTTCTCCTTCCCCCACTTCCTTCCTTTTCCCCTTTCAATCCCTCTACCCCACCACCCACCCCCCTTCCCCTCCCCCTGCCACTCCCTCTCCCCCTCCCCCTTCCCCTGCCGCATCCCCATCCCTCCGCCTCCCCCTACCCCTCCCCCTGTCACTCCCCCTCCCCCTCCCCATTCCCCTGCCGCATCCCCCCATCCCCCCCCCTCATCGCCCTCTTCCTTCCCTCTCCTTGGCACTTCCCCTCTTGCTACCACTGCCGTCTGCCGCTTCCCCCTCCCCCCCCCCCTTCTTCCACATCCCCCTCTCCCTCCACTCCCCAGCCAGTCTCCCTTGCCCGTCTCCATCCCCTTCGCCATCTCCTTCCCCATCCTCTTCTTCACCCAACCTCTCCCCTCCCCCTCTCTCTAACCCGCCCCCACCCTCCTCCACTTCCGCATCTCCTTCCCCTTCCCCATCCCCCTCCCATTCTATCTTCCCATCCCCCTCCCCATCTCCCTTCCCATCCCCCTTCCATTCCCCATCCCCTTCCCCCTACCAATCCCCCTCCCCTGTCCTCCCTCCCTTTCCCCTTTCCCTTTCCCTTCCCCTACCTTCCCCATCCCATTCCCCTTCCACCTCCCACTCCAATTAATTCCCCATTCCCCTCCCATGCCCACTACAACCTCCACCTTCCCCTCCCCTTCCCTCCCCCTCACCTCACCACTCCCCGCCACCTCACCTACCCCTTTCCCCTTCCCCTCCCCCTCCCCTCCCCTCCCCATCCCCCTCCCTTCCCCCTCCCCTCCCCATCCCCCTCCCCCTCCCCCTCCCCCTCCCCCTCCCCCCTCTCTGTCCCCCTCCCCCTCCTCCTACCCCTCCCCCTCCCCCTTCCCACTCCCCCTCCCTCTCACCTTCTCCCTCCCTCCCCTTCCCCTTCCCACTTCCCCTCCCCCTCCCCCCTAACTTTCCCCATCCCCCTCCCCTTTCCTCCCCTTTCCCCTCCCCTTTCCCCTCCCCTTTCCCCTCCCCTTTCCCCTCCCCTTTCCCCTCCCCTTTCCCCTCCCCTTTTCCCCTCCCCTTACCCCTCCCCTTCCCCCTCCCCTTTTCCCCCTCCCCTCCACCTCCTCCTCCCCATCCCCCTCCCTCCCCCCTCCCCCACCCCCTCCCCCGTCCCCATGCCCCTCCCCTTTCCCCTCCCATCCCCACTCCCCTCCCCCTCCCTGTCCCCTCCACCTCCCAATCCACCTCCCCCTACCCCTTCCAACTCCCCCTCCCCCTCCCCCTCTCCTTCCCCCTCCTCCTCACCTTCCCCTTCCCCCTCCCCTCCACCTCCCTCTCCCCATACCATACCCTTTCCCAATCCCCCTCCCCTTCCCCCTCCCCGTCCCCCTCCCCTTTCACCTCCCCTTCCTTCCATTCCCATTCCCCCTCTCCCTCCCCATCCGCCTCTCCTTTCCCCTCCCCTTCCCCTCCCCCCCCTACCCTTCCCCCATCCCCCTCCCCCTCCCCCTCCCCTTCCCCTTCCCCCTCCCCATCCCCCTCCCCTTCCTCTTCCCCATCCCCGTCCCCATTCCCCCCCCTCCTGCCTGCACGTGCAGCCAGCAGCAGGCGACCGCAGCCAGGCACGTGCAGGTGCCATCCTCTCAACCGCGCTGCACCGTTGTCACAGTACCAAAAGGGAGAGCACACTGGTGCTCCTCATCTCATGCCCTCACCTGCCGCCCGCAAGTATGCCTCACACTTGTTCTAGGCGTGCACCACCTGCCCATAATACCATCCTGCTTCACTCCACATACACCTCTCAACCCCCACTCTCCCCTGCCCGCACGGCAAGGGCGTGCATCTCACCTGGCAGATGAACGGGTCGCTGTTGCCACCTCCGCCCCGCACGCTGCTCCCTCCCCCCACCGAGCCCCCATCTGCTGCTCCCCCCGTGGATCTCCCAGGCCCCGCGCTCGCCCCTCCGCTGCTCGCCCTGCCTGCTTTGCCGCTATCCACTTTGCCCCATCCCCCTGCTTCTCCCTGCCCACTCCCCCCCGTGTCCCCCCTCCCAGTCACCCCACTGCTCCCCCCACTCACACTGCCCTCCCGCTCCCCCCCACTCCATATCCTGCCACCTCCTCGCCCACTCCCCACGCCCCTGCCCTCCTCGTGCCTCTCCTGCCCCACCTCTCCGCCCTCCCCATACCTTGAGCCCACAGCGCCAGCAGCAAGGGCCGCAGCAGCAAGCTCGCCTGGGCTGGGCCGCCCAGCCCCACGGATCGCTATCCCAGCACTTGAGTCCACAGCTCCCCCCACCGCCACCCTCCCTTCCCCCACTCCCCCCTTGGCGCCCACACCCCCTAGCAGCGCCAGCCCCGCCCCCAACCCCAGCCACACATCCTCACGCGGGCCAACCCGTAACCCCTCCGCTCTGGAGACGGACGTGCGTACCTCCACGCGCGTGCGAGCATCAGTGGGAGACACTTCTCTGCTGCTTCGTGCACGCAGCAACAGCTCTGACAGACCCCTCGCTCCAACCTCGTCCACTCTCTGGCCTTGTTGCAGAGCAGGGGGGAGCAGCGGCTCCTGCTGTTTTGCCATCACGTGGAAGTGCTGGGGACCCTGGTGCATAGTATTGCCTCGCCTTGCACTGTCCCTGCCTCCTCCCACTGACCCTTGTCTCTCCTCCCCCGTGCCTTGCCCCACTCCACTGTTCCTCCACGGCGGCAAACCTCCTGGGTCCAGCAACTGCTGCTGCTGCTGCTGCTGCTGCTGCTGCTGCTGCCGTGTTTGCTGCTGCTGTTGCTGCCACTGTTGCAGCAACTTCCCGTGGTGGAGCCCCTGTTGTCGCTCCTGCTCCTGTGCCTCCTGTTCACTGGCAGTGAGCATCCGGGGCAGCCCATCGTTGCTACTGCTGCTCACGGCACTGGTGCCAGGGAACCCAAGGGACAGGAATGCCCCTCCCAAGCAATTGCTGCCCTCCTGCTGCACCTCGCTTCCCACACTCCCCCTCAGCGTGCGCCTGAGATCACCTGCACCAGTCGCACCACCACCACCAGCAGCAACAGCAGAAGCAGGAGCAGCAGCAGGAGCAGCAGCAGCAGCAGAAGGTTGAGGGAAGGCGGAGTGCAGTGGTGCAGCGGCGCCGCTGCAGGGGTCATCACGGCGTTGGTAGGCTACCAACGCCGCCATGCCTTGCGCCCCAGGGGCCTCCGCCTGTCCCAGGCCAAAGAGCCCTTTCAGCCCCTCCTTCTGCCCCCCACCTTCTCCTCCTCCTCCTCCCCGCGCTTCTCCCGCTGCCCCGCTCCCCATACCAGCTCCTCTATCCTCTTCTCCTGCTTCCCGTTCACCCAGCAGAGAGAACCTGATCTCACGAGCCGGAGGCAGGGCAGGCTGAGACAGAGCAAGGCCGCTGCCCCACTGCACGCTTGCTGCGCTCGTCCTGCCTGCTGCCGTTCCCTGGCGTCCGCCCCTCGAACCAATCGCCGCTCCTGCCGCTGGGCTGCTCTCACTGTGCCCGGGCGCCACCCCAGCTTTCATGGCGTGAAGGAGGGACGAGGGGAACCCTATCAACGGCGCCTCTTGTGCGTGCTCGCGACTCGAGCTCCGTGCACCAGCAGCGCTGTGGTGCTGCTGTTCGTCCTGCCCGCATGCTAGCACCAGGGGCGGAGGAGCGCCTCGAGAGGTCACTTGCGGCGCTAGCTGCAGCGGCGAGCCGACGCCCACGGCAGTTGTTGCAGCTGCGAGGGACAAGGGGAGAGCGGCGTGAAGCGAGAGCTCAGCTGCGCTTCCAGGGAGATCACGGTACACTGAAGAGCGTTCTTCATTACGGGGGGGATTCAAATGAGGGTGTGCGGCTGCTGGCACGACTCTACCAGTGCTGGTATTCTCCGCGCCGAACGGAACTACCACTCCAGCGCTCGCCCCCACCGGCAAATTCCAACGATTTGGGGGGAAATTTAAGTCGCCGCCCGACGTTTCTAATTGGCTTCTGGCGATTTCGAGTGAAGGAAGCAATCGCTGCTCGCCGGCGGTTACAAAGGGAACGCCACGTAAGATGGTGGCGGGATCGGCGGGCAAGTGACGCATGGCGATCGACGCGGCGGCCTCGCTCGCTGCCTCGTCGACTCGCTGCGATGACGCGCTGCCGCGAACAGAATAGTCGTGTTGATCCATGAATGGGATGTTTTGTGCTGCAGTCATCACGCCGACCACTCTCGATGCATCATCGCTACGTTCGTGCCACTCTGACGCACTGCCGTGTTTCTCTAGAATCAGGCGGAAAAATCCAGGGTTTTCTCTGTTCGACTTTCTACGACAGTACTAGGTTTGTCGGAATATGATAGCAACTTCTAGGCCTACTACTTCTCCGTGGAAAAATCTTCGGGTTAATTTTGAGTGGAATACGGCGATTCTTTGCATGCGATTCGGCGAGTTCCCACAGATCGGATCTGTGTGTGACGTTGAAACGGCTAACTTCTGTTACAGGTAATTGAAAGAACAGGGGACGTCGGACAGCATGAGCGCCTGGAGGATGTTTCCTGGTTCTGTGGCTGGTTGGTGGCAGACGGACCCAGCGGAGGGGGTTGCGTCAATGCGAGCAAGAGAGGCGTCTTCGACAGGACTATACTAGTACTACTGCAAGCTGTGTTGAGAGATGGTGTCTGGTGTCCCTGCTTTGAATTGTGGTTACGCAAAGTATTGGGTAGCCTGGCCTACCCAGCTCCAACGTGGACCCTCCATCTGGACGTCGAGGGCCGACAGGTCCACTCAACGGAAGGCCGCTGCAGATGCCGCACAAGGCTTGCATGCTGCTGTGCGGAGATTTCGCGCCATAGTGTGCGCGAATGGAGGGCTCTGGACTGGAAACTGGTCAATCGAAAAATTGTTTGCTCCTCCTGGGCTAGTAACCCTGTCGTTGTTGTTAGAGCCACAAACAGTGCGATTCCAACTGAGTAGAGTATTGAATTATATATCTGTAAAGACCAAACGTTAAAAAAAGGGTTTACGAGCATCTTACGAATCCACATTCTGTATATTTCATTCAGGGGTCACAGAAATTCGTAAAACGCATTTTCAGCCACAACGATAAAAATCTGGAAATCCATCTTTGCGTAAACGTTGCCTCTTAATTATGCTCTTCGGTAAATAAATGTTGACGAAAAATGGCATGGCATCCCATAATCACTGATGGAGAAGCTTCAAATACATCTTGTGCAGACTAGTTGGGCACATTACCCTGGAATTGAGCACCCAGCTGCAGAAATCGAAGACCACGAGTTGTACAATCATCCCATGGGGACTGCTCGTCGTGACGAAACATACACAATCTGCAAGTGGGACCACCTTCCGTACAATACGAAGTTAGTAAGTGGACATGATGGCTGGCTTTGAGGGGGACATCGGCCGAGAAAACGACAAAATTATCCTCTTGCTGAAGAGATGGTGAAGCACGTCAGAGCGAGTTGCTGCACAATGTGTGCTTGCGTCGTTATTGAAGAGGGCAGGAGCCGCACACACGTTAGGAATCCGGCTAGCCAGCCCAATGGCGCCTTCGCCTCAAGCTGTTGCGTCTGTCGTTGCTCCAAAGATCTTGAGACACCGCTGTTGAACTTGCATCAGCCCGAGCACGTTTCGAAATGAGACCTGAGTTGAAACCGAATCAGAGTGAACATTTAATCATTGTATATTTCTTAAGTGAAAGCTTATACAAAGGGATGCACAAGCAGAACACTAACAGCAACAAAGTCACAACAAACCCAGTTCTTCCTTCCAGAAACGGATCATGTGCCACAAACCAGCAACAATCATGAGCAGATAGCTCTTTGGGCCGGAAAGTGAACTCGGAAGAAGGACATCAAGGGAAACTTGTTTCGAGTAATCACACTTTCTTGGGTTCATCGTCCTAGCACACCTGAAGTTAATCATCTGCGACGGTGGATGCGCTGCTGTGCTGAGCTGACACTTTGCTGCAATTGGTCGGCACGGCAAAAACATGCAGTTTAACAATTTCCATTCGGATCTAGGTTGGACACAGTACTGTAGTACGGCAATGCTCTGGCCCGCCCATACGCACGTGGTAAAGTAGCCGTTTGCGGGCAGCATCAAGTCACGGGCAGATGCGAAGAACAACTAGACTGATTGTTTTCTGAAAGTGGTGGAGTGGGTGCGAGGAGGCGGGAGGAAGAGGGGGGGTGTAGGGTGGGTTGGTGGAACTACTACTGTAAAAAATCTACCAGAGACAAGCGGGTGGCCAATCCGCGCCTGGTCAAACTTCCAGTTCAAATTACTGTACCCGTTATACCAGGATATCTCGAACTGTGTGCGCAACTTTGAGACCGTATAAGAGACTTGGACGAATGAAAGCATGTTGGGGAGAACCGGGGACTCGAAAGTTAGTCATACCCTCAATAGGGTATTTCATCTGCCCGCGGGAATAAACTTCAGTACAAAACATCTGTTGGGGAGAACTCCTCGTTATGTACGGCTTTGATTCCAAATCTTTCGAAATGCCTTCTGCACTGTACATCAACCCCCTTGAACTTCCGTCGGTAGCCTACACGAGAAGTGCAACATCACGTTTTACCGACTCGGACCACATTGCTAAAGTCTTGCATTTATGAGGCTCGTCAACTCTTTTTAAAGTCGCACATTCTATATAATTACGCAGTAAAGACATTCGGAAGCTGCAGACGTACAGGCTCATACATTTAACACGCCCGAAAAAAATAGCATCAACCATGTCTCACACCCAACCCATGAAATCTAAAACCAGCTGTGACAACGCTCCAAATCATACAAAACATCCAGAAAAAGGATCCGTATAGAAGGCTTTGGGTGTACTCAGCATACCTGGCTGTATGAGGAGCCAAAGGGTGCGGCGGGCTCATGACATGAATCCTCCAGAGTCCTCCTGACCTGTCTCACATTGAAGGCCAACCTGCGTGGTTTGGATTGGAGCAGCAATTGCGGCAGCAGATGACTGGACTGTATTTTACAGTAACGGAGGGGCCTGACGGCCCGTCTAGTTGAACTCCAATTCGGAACAAGTTGAGCTGTTGCACATCCCTGAAGTTGTTTGGGGAGGGATTGCGATTTCAAAAGCTGTACAGTATCGCAACTGCGTCGTCACCAATCTCGGTCGATGGTCAATTGGTTGACAAGTGCATTGTTGAAGTCGCACATTTTAATGCTACTGGCCACCGTTGCTGTAATGTTATGATTTAAAAAACCAGGGCGCTGAATAATGATGCTATTACTAACTAGATGTAAGGAATTTTCTCGACATTCCTTAGCGCGCCTGCAACATCGCGTACAGCAGCAGCCTTTGTTCGCCCGTTACCGCTAACGGGGCTTCGCCGACTTCGCGCGCACTGTTTCACCAAACCTCGCACTGCTGGCCCGGCCGTGTCGGCCTGCGCTTCGGGACTAGCCCGAACCTCGCTGCCAGCGTAGCACTTGCTAGCTCGCACGCACCGCGTTACCGTTTGCATGTTTCGCGTATAAATGTTCGCTCATGCCTTCGCTCACATTTGGTACTCGTTTGACACCTTAGTGCAATCCTCGCTACCTCGATTCATTGCAACTGTAACACTTGGTATTCAGAGCCTCTTTTCTTTCGGACCGCGCATCTCCGCACCCCAGGAAATCAACTTTTGATTTTTCACTCGAAGGGACTCACGCACCTTAGCCCCTAGGAGCCGCTGTCCTCGCGTTCTCTCGTAAACGCGTGCAGCCACGACTGCGCCTAGACTAAGCTGAGCCGACGCCCTTCGCAATGGCCGAGCACATCGACGTCACCACTCTCACGCAGGAGCGCTTGAACGAACTGCTGCAGCAACTTCGCGAAAGCTCTGAAGAAATCGCAGCGCTGACGGCAAAACGTATATCCCTGCAGAATGACGTCGCACGAGCACAACAAGCACAATCCCAAGCACATGGCACTCCGGTACAGCCCGCACCACAGACATCGCAACATGGGAGCGTGGGGCAACCCGCGAGCGCGGACAGTGATGGCGTCGTCCGCCATGACGGAGACGACGACCACGGGACGACACACCCCGACGCGACGAATGCGGCCAGGAGTCAGCCTCGAGTCACGATTTCTGTGCCGGCTGGCGAATCCACACTGCCGTCGCCGATGCCGCTGAAGCCGCAGCGTCCGCCATGTTTTGACCCGAGTCAACGGGGTGGTCCTACCGTTCAGGCGTGGTTGTTCCCGTTGAACGCTTTCTTCGACGCCAACTACGTCTCGGAGGATACGGCGAAAATCCGCTACGCCGTGTCGCTGCTGCGAGGACCCGCCATGGACTGGTGGCGTGTCATCGTCACGAAGCCGGTGGACTACGCGACTCTACCGACACGGGAAGGACAAACCGGACCCTGGGCGCCGTCGTATTTCGTGGAGGTGCCCCAATATCGCACGTGGGACGTGTGGTACGCAGGTCTGCGCGCTCGGTTTGAGCCAATTGCGGCTTCGATCGCGGCGCGACAGAAGCTCCGCACTTGGCGCCAACTCGGTTCCGTCCAGGACTACACGAGCGGGTCTCTGGCGCTATGCGAGCAAGTAGGTTACATGCACGAGAGCGAACGCATCGACCGCTACATCGGCGGCCTGAAGCATGACATCGCTTAGGAAATCCAGCTTCGTGGTGTCACCGATTTCCAGGAGATTCTCGCCATGGCGGAGAAACTCGATTTCTTCCGCCGACCAAGACCGGGGTCGTACGGAGGCAACAACTGGGGACATTGGTCTCGTGGGACGAACGAGGGCGCTACGATACGTGCCGTCGCCGCAAATGCCGCTGCCGCACCGTTCAAAGGGCGCTGCTTCGCGTGCAATCGGCCGGGACACCGTAAGAGCAAATGCCCGGAAAACGCTAAGGGAAAGGGGGAAGCTGAGCAGTAGAAACAGACCAAGCAGCAGGGAAACACTGGGAGTCAGTAGCAGACGGGCCCTCTACTGACAGGTCACGCCGCTCGCCCGACCCAACCGACCCTCACCGAGTGATTGTGCCGGTTCACGCAATCGACCACACCCGGCCGAATAAGGAGGGTACTATGGTAGACAGCCCCGTACTGCTTAGTGGGAAAACCGGGACAGACTTATTTAAAATATTCGTAGACGGGGGAGCCAGCCACAGCCTCATCAACACCGCCACAGCACGGAAACTGAAACCGCCACTGGACAGATGCTTACCTGA